TAGTATAATGGGCCCCAAAACCCTTGTCTAATTATTAAGGCTCCTCTATTAGCCTAGGCCCGGGGAGTATCATGATGAAGGGAGAGCGACGAGTCAGCGTGCTGTTTTGAAGTTGGTTCTGCGGAAGGAAGACATGCCTTCACAGCCGTTGCAAAGGATCCTACTATAAAGGGTACTATAGTAGGGTCCCCTATGTTCGGAAACCCGTCTACAAACCCAAACCCTAAACCCTAAACCCTAAACCCTAAACCCTAAACCGTAGCCGTACCCTGCTGAGACGTTGCCCTGACCGGCTTCCACACTGATGGCCCGGAGAACCTGCTGGCACAGCTTTCCGGCAGCAAGGCACAAGCACCGGGAACCGCCCAGACTACGGGTTTGCCATTCATAAATTCACAGGGTTTAGGGTTTAGGATTCAGGGGTTGAGGGGTTTAGGGTTTAGGATTCAGGGGTTTAGGGGTTTAGGGGTTTAGGGTTTAGGATTCAGGGGTTACGGGTTTATGGGTTAGGGCGTTGGGGGGAAGATTGCTGGTGAACTTCGGGGTTCTTAGGATTTGCAGGTCTTGTCAACCAAAGCCCGGAGTCTTGCAGCCCTCTCTGCTTTCCGTCTCTCTGCAGATCTGCGTATGGTGGCTGTATGTGCGAAAGTTTATAATATGGGGGCCTAAATAATTACCAGTGCTATTTTTTGGGGGGGTTCCTTATTATAGTTATAGTATAATGGGCCCCAAAATCCTGTTCTAATTATCAAGGCCACTATATTCTGCAGACATGTGCCCATGCGCATAATTAGAGTCTTCCGGAGCCTAACGTGACGAGTTGAATCCGAAGCCCAGAACTCCCGAGCCGACGTGGGTGGCCGGGGCCCCAACACCCAAACCATACGGAGATACATCGCGAACCTTGAATTTCAACCCTTAAGTCCCAAAACGGGTAGGCCTTAAACCCTCAACGGTTAGTTCTTGACGAGAAGTCGTCGGTACGATGCCACACAAGGGTTGCAGAGAGATGTTTTGCCTGGTTTCCTTTCTGTAAGTGATAGCAAAAAAGAAAGAAATATGTTGAGAGCGAAACAGACGCACCTGATTAGGAGTAGATAGATAGTAAGTTATCATTTTGCTTTCATGCGAAGAGAAATTTAAAGCCCATAGGAGCTGACTCTACTCCGGCCGAGCGAGAAGTCGAAGCTGGCATACGAGGAGCTTACGAAATGGCTTAGGGCGTAGGGTTTGTACCCTACGGCCCTAAACCTTAGACTGTAAGCTTCAATCCCTAAACCCTCAACTCCATTGTACTTTAATTTCCCTTCTCCAAAACAGGAACTACCTGTTCAGGGCTCCTTATTTGTGATTTCCTTTTCCAGTCCTGAAAAAGGTAGGGCTTTTGGGGTCAAGACCCGAATCGGTAGGGTTCCGGGTTGAGGGGCTTTGTAAGGCTCCGGGTTTACGGAGTTTAGGGTTTCGGGTTTAGGGTTTACCTTAAGCCCTAAACCCTAAACCCCAAAACCGATTGTTGCTTTGTGGTTGAAGTTGGTGTTGCTGTGGCATGCTACTGGATCACCCACATTCCATCCCCTTTTCCTGCAGCGTGTCTGCCTGGGTACGTATATGCGCACAGAAAACGATGCATGTTTACAACTTTGTGTATATACGCAGAAATTTGCATCTCTCCGTGGATAGACAGAGTGGGGGAGGGCCGGTCGGTATTGCGGCTGGGGTCTCGGTTGTTGCACACCGTGTTTGCGCATGTGTTGCAATTTTGTGCGAATCAGGTCGAGCTGCAACCTAAATGCAAAGTCACAGATGCAAGAAACGCAAGGACACCGATGCAACACAAAAGCTGCAGGCACGTTGCAACGAGTATGCAAACCTTTGTTGCACAACGGATACTCGCTCTTGGACGACCGACTCGGGAGCTGTCTGAATCTGATGAATCTTAACCCTAAAGCTGCACTGGTAGACCGTAACACCCAACACCAAAGCCTGCACCCTACAAAACTGAGACAGCCCAGAGTGCAGGTGTGTCTGGGTCTTTATAGAGGCTTCTTTTCGTGCTTCCTGGAGAAAGGGTTTTCATCCTCTAGAGTCGGTTCATGTATCGTGGATCCCACCTTGGGGGTTCAGGTCCCCCATAGTATCGATTTTTTTTGGGGGGGGGTTCCTTACTATAATAACAAGTATAACATATACCGCAAAACCCTATTCTAATTATTACGGCTATTAAGGCCCCTACATTATTTGGCGTCCCACAAGGAGATGATTGACGCAGAGCCAAAGACGACGCTCTCAGCAGATGGTATCGCCAGCATAGGCGAGGGTAGTAACTAGGTCCTAATCTTACTAGTGCAATCCCTCAGAGTTTCGTAACGATGATTGTATGATTTAAAGGGTTCGCGTCGTCCGCCTCGACCCGGCCGCAAACAAAGAGGGCCAACGAGCTGCTGGGCGCCGTTGGCGGAGCGGACCTTGCGTATCAACTAGAGCCCAAATCCATTGGAGGAGGCGAGATTTCACCACAGCACCCTGGGGGCCCGCTCCCAGGATGACTCTTTCGAGGTGTGGGGGTCACTGGGCGGGAATAGAGGAAGTCCGAATAGCAACCTCTGACCGCTTCGGCCGGGGGCCGAGGCGAATTTCAACGTACCCTTAAAACTCTGTTGTTCTACCCTTGTGCTCCATTGTAGTTCCTGTTTGTGCTTTTTATCTTGAGTCCTACAAGTAGGTAGTCCCGCAAAGGATCTACAATGGAGCTTACACCTAAACCCTAAACCCTGGAGAGTGCAACGCCCTGGTGGCG